AATAGTAGTGCATGGGGGCTCAGCTTCCTGACAGCTTGGTGGATGAAGCTTTCTGTGAATCTGGTGGAGCGGCAAGAGCCTGAACAGACAGTCTATGAAAACACCCACATGCACAAAGAGTGTCTCTCTTTCTGTCTGTGTCTCTTTCATGCGTGCACGTCCTGCTTTAATCCAGTTTCTGACGAATGGAAATGGGTCGAATTTGTCCAGAGGAGGTCCGTTAAGGTCCACAAACAGCAGTGAAGACCTGATGTCTTAACGCAATAATTTGCATATGCGAACAGGATTGGCTGGCTCCACTTCGCAAAAAACAGAGCAAATCATTTCCAATAACCACACTGTAAGCCTTTTCTTTGGATTTATTGGCTGGATGAATGAATGGTAAAACTGCAACAAAGAAATAATGGGCGTAAGTCTTTGTGTAAACAGGCACAATTCCAAATAAACAGACACCATTCTCCTAAATAATAAACTCAACATATTCCCTGAATATTCACAGAAACACATAATGACATGTTAACATTAGCCGCTAGCTAGCGGCATTGCTAACGGCTAGTTAGCGCGTATGCTAGCGGCTAGTTAGCGCGTATGCTAGCGTCTTTTTAAAGTTATCTTCTCTGTGACCTTTCTTGCAATAAACCTCCAAACACAACATGAAACATAGTACTATATGTACATAAACGAAATACACCCTTCACATCAAATTACATGCTATACTGGCCACAAACGCAGCACAGAGAGAACAGATGTAGCTATGCAGTGTTTACTCATTAAACAGAAAGATGCCACTGCTCAACTTCCAGTGCTTTCAAAATAAGACTATATCAAATATTATACATAAGAAAGCTTATAGTATATAACTTAGAAACAATATGCAAATATGAGCAATGGCTTCCTAAGGAGCCAGAACATTTTATTTAAATTTTTTTTGACACAATTTAAGGGGGTCTCATGGGTTAAACGGGGGAGTTGAGCTCCCCCGGACAACCCCCCCCCCCCCCCCGTATTTCGCACTCTGCAATTAAGCCAATTCTGACCGATAATTTTTAATCTAGGGCTATCTGGGTGGTATCTGGCGGAAAATCTCGCGGCTTTTTCAAATCACGCGAGAATGTGTACAAAACAACAAAAATGGCGCCGGTGTAGGTACCAATTGGGCGTTT